TTTACCATTTCTGTACATTTGAAATTTGTAAAAGAAAAGTTGGAAATTTTCCTTTTGTGACATAAAATAATATACACTTAATAACTTCTTAGGCATCTATTACTATTATTGTTGTATTAAGTTACCTTGTGCTTACATTATCTGCCTAGTCTCCTTTTGATAAATGTATTTTGATGTTTTCTGATACTTTCAAATTAAACTTTTATTTTCTGATACTTTGAAATTAAATTATCAGAAATTAAAGTATTTTCTGTTACTCTGATGCAAACTGTTTGCAACATATTCAGACTACAAAGAGTACACAAAACAAAATTGTTGCTGGATCTTGCTCAGGTTTGATAAGACCTGGTAATGTATTTGTACTTATCAAAGTAGGAAATATCCTATGTGTTAAATGTTGGTATATCAATGTAGGTATGTACTTATACATCTTTAAATTATAAACAGTTGCAATAAAACCTGTCTTAGTATCTTCTGGGGTATATTTATGATGTCCCCTACTTTCATTTCTTCATTCATTCAACAAATACTGATTGCATGTCTACTGAATGCCAGACATCTTGCTAGGCATCTGTGTAATATGAACAGTAACAAGAGTCTTAGATTATTTTTTTTCTGTTTGTTTTAACACCATTGCCATGGGTAAGCTATAAGTACATTGCTATTACATATTTAAAAAAGCAAATCTCTAATGATATTTCACTTTCATAGATATCAGGACCTCTATTACCATTTTTGTTTAGTATCTTTGATATTTAATTTCAAATCTATATTTTGCTCTTATCTTTGACTCTTAAATACAGACACATATCTTGAGATCTTACTTCCTACGTCACAGAGAAAATAAAGGCATTAAGATGTTAAATCTCTAATTCCAACTCCCCCAGTACAAATTTCTTTAGTTTTTTGTTGGGGGACAGGGTCTTGCTTTGTAGTTCAGGATGGCCTTACTAGCCCAGTCTGGCCTCAAACTCATGGTGATCCTCCTGCCTCAGCCTCCTGGGTCCTGGGATTACAGACATGCCTCACCATGCCTGGCAAGTTTTTGTTTAGTTTTATCTCATTTTCTTCTTATAGGTGAAATTTTGCTTTTCTTTTTATGTTTGATGCTATTGGCTGTTTTTCCTTTTTCTCAAAATCTCTATTGCTGTAGTTTTCATGACTTACACACTTCTGGTTCTCTTCTTAAAGATCAGTTCTTGGATTCCTGTTTGGAGTAAGTTTTCACCACTTGCAGTTTAATTGTTGATATAACCTTCCACCTTTTGCTTACTTCTTTTCTCACAGAATTTGCCTTAGTTAGTTCAGGCTGCTGTGCCAAAGTATCACAGACTGGATGGCTTGTAAACAGAAATGAATTTCTTACAGTTTTAAAGACTGGAAATCTGTGATCACAGAGCCCAAATGGTCATATTCTGGTGAGGACCCTCATCTAAGACTACAAACTATCGCTTATATTCTGGTGTGTCAGAAAGAGAATATAAGAGCTCTCAGTGTTCCCTTTTTATAAGGGCACTAGTCCCATTCATGAGAGTCCTACCCACAGGACCCTCCTCAAAGCCCCACCTCCTAATACTATTAATTATATTTGAGAGTCATGCTTTCAACATATAAATTTTTTTTCATTGAGCTTATTGGTACTTTTTAGGTATACAGTATAGTTACATTCATCACTGGGATCTTGTACCTTTACATGACAGATCTTAGTTCTTATTTTTTCCTCATACCCCTGCCCTCCCTTCATCCCCTCCACCCTTCCCTATTTACAAAGACTTTGTTTCCATTTTTTCCTTTACTCATATTTTTTCTTTTCCCTCTTTCCTTTCCCCTGCCCTTCCCACTTCTCCTACTCCTTTAGCTCTTCTTCCTGTTTCACATTGTCAATTATACACTTTGAATCTTATTTACACTTTTAGTTTTTCACACCAGAGAAACTATTTGGTATTTACATGTGTGTCCTATTTATTTCATTTAAGAGTATGCCCTAGCTGGGGATTTAGCTCAGTGGTTCCACCGCCTGCCTCGCAAGTGCAAGGACCCAAGTTAGATCCCTGGTACCCCCCCAAAAAGAGTATGCCCTCAATATGCATCCATTTTCCTATAATGACTCTAATTTCTCATTCTTTATGGCTGAGTAGTATTCCATTTTATAGAAAAACCACATTTTCTTTTTTTTTATTGAGGATATTGGTACAATCTAGGTATACAAATACAGTTACATTTATCATTGGGATTCTGTATCTTTACATAATAGGTCCTGATTCTCATTTTTCCCCTTGTCCCTGCCCTCCCTTCACCCCCTCTTCCCCTCCCCATTTACAAACACTTTATTTCCATTTTTTCAATTTCTCATATTTTTTTCCTCTCCCTTATTACCTTTCCCCCACCCTTTCCACTTTCCTTACACCTTTAGCCCTTTATTTCCTATTTCACATTATTAATTGTCTCATTAGGATCCTGTGTACTATTATAGTTTTTCACACCAAAGAAACTATTCGGTATTTCAGTTAAAGAAATCTCTGTATGAACATTAAAAATAGGGAATCCTTAAATAAAACTAAAAAGGAAAGTAAAAGAGAAAAGGCAATGATGTAACATCAAAATAATCCTTAATTCTGGAGATGAAAATGGTCCCTGAACATATTTAAATTGCTTCTCGCTCTTATAGTCTTATCTTATTCTTTTTTCATTATTTAGAGAATACTTTATTAGTTTCTGTAATCAAACCCACGTAGATATGACCTTACATATTTAGTACGATGTGTTACCCCTGTACATATGGAAAAATATAAAATAAAATAAATTAACATTTCTACACCAATATGGTTGTCCATTTCTGTACAATGCCAAGTCAACACAGTAAATTGGGATGACTTTTTCCAAAGTTGGCAGCACCTTTAAAGTTTCCAAAAAACCACATTTTCTTTATGCAGTCTCCAATTGATGGGCATTTGGGCTGTTTCCAAGTTTTAGCTCTTATAAACTGGGCCGCTATAAACATGGGTGTGCATATATCACTGTGATATGATTCTTTTAATTTCGACATATAAATTTGGAGAGAACACAGTCCATTCCAGAACTCCTTCTATCATCTTATCCTTTCCACTGATTTTATTTACATTAATGATTTAGAAATCTGAATGCCAGTGAAGGTATCTTCACCTCACCTCAACTTGTATATCGAGCTACTTTCTAGATGTGTGGGCCTAATTATATCATGAACAATGCAAAGTCAGCAAATCCCACACTAAACTCTAAATTCCCATTTTGCTTCAAGAACTGCTTAACCTAAAATTTATTTTTTAATTTTTATTCATTTATTTATTTATTTTTGGTTTTTTGAGACAGGGTCTCAGTATGTAGTTGAGACTGACCTGGAACTCACTATGTAGTCCAGGCTGGTCTCGAACTCACAGCGATCCTCCTGCCTCAGCCTCCCAAGTGCTGGGATTATAGGCATGCGCCACCATGCCTGGCTAACCTAAAATTTTAAAAAAATTATTTTTCTATCTATCTTTTGATTTTCTTCCCGTTCAGATATAACAAAAACCTTTGAGTTAATCCCTGTAGCCATTTTTAGTAAATGAATTCAGCTACTCAGAAGTATTTTAGTAACAGATCAATAAATGTCTTTGTCTTCACATTCACATTTTTTCTACATTAACTGTCCTCGCTTAATGGAAAATATGATTTTTCCCTTTAAAAACTTTTTTATTTATAATGTTGATATATA